GACTTGAAAACAAAACCATGGATAGGAAGTTTCTAAGAATTGGCAGAGGGATTTGATAAAGACTTTTACCAAGAATTAAAGGATTAGAGAATTAGTGGATCCACATGTGAAAATTTATGTGTAATGAGAGAGAGAAAGTAGAATATTGAGAAACATGGTATAAAAGTTTGAAAGGAGAGCCATGTTCTACTAATTAAAACATGATATTAATTACAATATTGTGTGATTGAAAGATATATAATATATCATTGAATTCAACCCTTATTAAAATCGATTTGAAAATTGAAGATTTTGAGTTCTAACTTCAATCATATTAAAAAAACATTAAAAAAAACTATATAATATATAGTCACCCCATACCGTTCCATTGTACCTATACAATGCACCCCATTGTGTGTGAATGCTCGCCATGATGGTTGGTGTTTAAACAATTAATCATTTCCTAACATAATTTTTTAATGTCAAAATATCATAAAATAATTTTTTTTCCCAAGAAACTAAGGCCAATTGAGTCAATCGATTAGTTGTGTGACCCCAAATTTGGAGACTAAAAGTAATAATTTTTTTTCCTTTTTATATACAACCAACACTAAAGGGATTGGTTTCATAGCTTAGTAAGAACTTAAACACAATTATTTTTTCAAATTCAAATAAATTATATCATACAATTATATTGATTACGTGCTACATTAATTAATTTTTTTTGAAAATTTAGTCATGATTTTTTTGTATGTCCAAAATATGAATTTCAAATGGTGAAATTTTTTTTTTTTGTAGCCAATTATAGTGCATAAAAAATACAATAACATTTTTATGTTAACATGAAATTTGCATCTTGGGTAACCCTTTTCTTTTCATATTTTCATAAAAAATTTTAGCTGAAATAAAAAAAAAAGTGAAAGCTAAAATGATCCATTTTTCATAGTTCCAAGATCAACTAATCATATGTAACATATGTAGCAACAAACAAAAAAATCTATGATCATAAAGTGGATAATAATTCTCATTTCCATATAAATTTAACACATGATCCAAATTTTTTTCTTGGGGCAAATATTGATCCAAAAGGAAAAAAAAAAGCCATATATAAATATATGTAGGGTTAAAACTAGTGAAGTGGGGGGGGGGAGAATCTAAAAGAAGCACATGGGGGGCCAAACATGAAGGGCCAAAACTAAAGTCCCGCGTTTTCCGGCATAGAGAGAAGAGGACAAAAGGGAGAAAGAAGAATAAAGAGGCGCAGCAGCACGTGAGTCTTTGCCCTATAACCAACGAATTGCTCTGAGCTCCTCCCTTCTCCAAAACACAAATTTCTTTTTTTTTTTTTTCTTCCGCATCACTTATTAAATTAAGAAGATAATTAGAATCTGTGCCCCTAATCATCACCTCTGAACTCTGCCTCTGTCACTGTCTCTACCTCTGCTTTGTTACCATTATCTTTGTTTTTTTAGTACTTTCTTTTTTATTGACTCAACGGATAACTGTGCTCAAGTCAACATTTTCTAATTACGTGATTTTTTTTTATTTAGTTATAAAACAGTTTGTACTAGTATTAAGATATAAAAACAATTGCAAGTACGTGATTTGAAGGTAAAAAAATTATAATTATTGAAATTTAAGTTTTAAATTTATTAAATATTATTTTTTAGAAATAATTATATAAATTAATTTAATAATAATAATAACAATAAATTTTGAGAATTTTATTCCTCCATTAAATACAATTTAAACCAACAATTATTTATATTAGAGTTGATACAATTCATTGAAATTCAAAAAAATTGTTTGATTTAATTGAATAAAAAATTAAAAATAGGAATCCTTCACACTCAAATCTAAAATGATTAAAATTTCAAATGAGTTGAAAGATTAATTTAAAATAATCAAAACTTAAATTGATTTAATTTTAAAATGAATAATTTAAATCCATTATTGACTGAAATTTATTTGGTCAAAGTATTAAAAAAAATTTTTAAATAATTTTTTTAAATAAGTTCATATACTATCATTATATCTAAGTAAGTTTTTTTTTTTTTGTTTATTCGTACTCAAAATAAGTATTTATTTCAAACAAAAGATAAATTTCTGTTAAGGATTTGTTTGAATACAAGTTAAAGATTAAGAGTTCATTTGTGTGTAAATTAGAATTTTAAAATTTATTTAAATATAATAAAATTTATAAAAATTTATCTAAATAAAGTAATAAAATTCAGAAACTTTTTTATCATGTTAGTCTATTTATTTCTACCTCCAAACTTAACCCACTTACAACAAATGAAACTATTATAGGGTTTATTTGGATGAGTGATGAGATTGATTCCGATGAATTTAAAATATTAAAGATAAATTAATCTATTGTACAATGAGATTAAATCACTTATATATATTTGAATATAAAATTTCGATGACTAAAATAAATTATTGCGAAAATGATCATTAAGATTATCAGACTAAAAATTGTATATAATAAATATTTAAATTATGTAACATTTATAAAATCAATAAATTGTTAAAAATTATTAAATTATATTTATATTAAATAATAATTTTATTAATAAATAATAAAAAATAATAATATATCAAATTAATAAAATTATGTTTAATTTATAAAAAATTAAAAAATTAATTAATTAAAAATAAAAAAAAAGATAAAAAATAGAGAAGAAAAGAGATGATCGGTGGCCAACTAGACAAAAAATGTCTAGTGGCTAATTGGACTTAAACTTGCTCGGCAATTAGGGTTGAGCAAAATTTGGTTAAAACCAACAAAATAAAAAAAAATGAATTTTCAGGAGAAATCAGGTTGGATAATTCAAGTTATATGTGTATTTCAGTTTTTATTTTGGTTTAAATGGTTAAAACAGTCAGTTTTTGTTTTAAAATACTTAAACCAAATAAATTGAAATGATAGTGAGATTAATTTTCAATGAATTAAAAACAGTGATAGTGATGAAATTAATTATTGTAACAAAAAAATCGAGTATTATAGCAATGAAATTAAAATAAGTGATAGAATATGTGTTTAGATATAAATGTAATGATAGTGGTGAAATAAAATGTAATGAAAAAAAATTATTATTAAAAATATGAGGCTAAAGTTTGTATATAATAGAAAATTTAAATTATTTATTATTATTGTGATTATCTATTTTAGTTAATTCATATTAATAATAGGGATATTTATTTTTATTCATTTATTAATAATTTAATTTATTATAAAATTATTTATTTATTTATATTTATTCAATTTATAGTAATTTATTTATTAAATATTTTATTCTATAATTGTAAAAATTATTTATTATACTAAATTAAAGAATTTATTTGAAAATTGTTAAATAAAAAATAAAAAGAAAAAAGGTTAAATGGTATGGCATCTTTGTCTCCATACTATAGTACCAAGTCTTACAAAAATGAAAAAAATGGATATAATAAAAAGAAGAATTGCGGTAAAAACTCAAAATTTTGACTGAAGCTTCAAGCGCCAGTCGCAATTCAAGACTGCAACACGATTAAAATAGCTCCACCGTGCCTCCAAAATCTAAACGATGTATTAATGCGATTGAGACTTGCAACCACGTCGCATCGGTGCCAACTCGGATCCAAAGACCTCCTTACATATTGAGCTCACTTGCAGGATGTTTAGTCACGTGAGTCAATTTTGCTGGTGCGTCGATTCCTGGGTCAGATTCGATAGCGTCTTAAGTTGGCGAAATGCAGGGTGGGGGCTGGCCTAAATGACCTGACAAGAAAGCTTGCGCTGTCCAGATGTCCTCGTAAATGGTACAGAAGTCTCCAAGTCTAGCTTAAACTTATAGCTTTATTAGGGGTACCCTCTCCTGTACTACTTTTACCCACCCATGTTGCTGTTTCTTAGCTGTGAGTGAATAGCGATCACAGAGTACCAATTCGTACGTACTAATTTAGGTCATGCACACTTATTATTTACTTACATTAAATCTAACAAATTTATGAGATATATATATTTTTTATGATCACTTAATGAATTTGAATTCAGCAATCAAAAGACAAGTAATTTTTTTTTAATCATTTGAGTCAGTATCCATAAGTGATCTTCATTTGTTTCTTACTCAAAAAGTGTTAAATTGTGTCTTATGGGTCTTAATTAATTTTTCTACGTATTTATTTACAAATTTTCTTTGCAATAAGGCCAAAAAAAGAAAAAAAAAAACAATGTTTCAATATTTACAAATTTTAATTCCAGGTCACATTTTATTTCCAAAGTGTATAGTTAACAAATAAATCCATATTTATATATTGTTAAATAAAGAATTTATATTTGATATATTATAAATATATAAAATTTATACATCGTTAATAAATTAAATGATGATAATTTATTAATGAAATAAATCAAATAATAATATTTTATTAATGAATAAATTTTTTTAAAAAAATTAATTTATGTATATTTATTTATTAATGAAATATTATTATTTAATTTATTAAAATATATAAAATTTATATATTGATAATATATTAAATATAAATATTAAAATTTATGGGTTCTAGCAAAATATTTTATCTATTATAACTTAGACTTTTAATTTAAAAATCTTATATTCGCGTTTAAAAAAAATAAATAAATAAAAGAACAAGTATATTGAACTTTCGCATGGAAAAAAGAAATCATAGTAATCGATTCGAATTCATCTTAACTTCACAACAAAAAAAAAAAATTCTTTAAATTTCAATTTCTTAACTCTTAAGTTTAAAACAAAATTGGTAATTTCTTAAACTCCTACCATTCTGCCAAACAGACTCAAAGGTTGAACCAGGGAAGGGGAGGTAGAAGAAAAAACCGATGTGGCGTTAAATAAAATAAAACCCTAAATAAGCCGTTGTTAAAATACTCGAAATTAGCCACTTTAGCCACGTTCCCTTCCCGGCCTTAGACAAAAAAAAAAAAAAAGACACGAGTAAAATGTTAATCGGGATCGCCAAAAGCATTAAAATATTCTCTAAAATTAATATATATAAAAAAAACACAAATTATTAAAATCGTCGAGTTTCGTGATCCACATATTGCCACACCCAAATTACACCCCGAAAAATAAATAAAAAATCAAACCGAGCCCTCAACCTTAGCCTTAACGTCGTCAACCCCGCCGCAACGTCGTTACTTCAACGCCGTTAAATGAAACGCAATAAAGAAAGTGTATAAAAGCATCTTTGAAGCAAAGAGAGTTTATTTTCTCCGACCCAAAGCCTCGTCTTTCGCCGAATTGCTTCTTCTCTACAAAGTAAAAGGGAGTTCTTTTGGTGGTTGAATTTTGAAGGAGATGCTCCGTAGCTACATTATTATACGTTTTACTTTACGAGTTTTATTTCAGTGTTTACAATTCAGTTTTTCCTTGCTTCAAATCATCACTTCGCTGAAATTCCACGTTAAAATCGTTTCAACTCAGATCAAAGAAGGTCCGTTCTCCTTTTTTTATTGGATTGTTGTTTGAATCGGTTTGCTAGTTTTGACTTGAATTATGCATAATTCGATTTTTGCATAATCATTGTTTTTTTTTTCTTTAAATTGTGATATTTTCTTGTGGCAGATTCCGTGACAAGAAACTTAATTCTGATTCGTGCAGTTAAACGTGTGGAGAAGATCTCTTGGAACTGAAATTGTCGAATTTTCACAAGAAAAAACAAAAAGAATCGAGGAAAATTTCATTTCAAGCGTTAATTACGGTTCACAATTTTGGAATCTGAAGTCAATTATTTGAAAGAGCTTTTTATTTTGAAAGCGTCGGTAAATGCGCCCCTAATCTCAGGTGAAGCCGTACTTCTTTTTCGCGACGAAATTCACTTTCTCGACGTGAAACGGATCTGATAAAGCAATCAGGATTGAAGAATTTTCCAGTTTTTTAAATTCTACCGTTCAAGCTCTTTGAATTCATTGAATTGTTGTCGAATTTTCTGATCCAAAGTTTCACAGCCCAAAAAAAAAAAAAAAAAACGAAGCCATAGATGGAGCTTCCTCAACCCCAGCCTTTCGCCGCTGAAGGTAATTTATTTTACTACGTGGTTTTATTTTTTTAAAATGATTTACTTTCAATTATGAGATAATAAATTCAAAATAAAAAAATGGATGGGAATAGAAATATTTTGTTTGTTGGTTTGGTGTTAAAATTTTAAGAAACTGTGAATTAGAATTTTTTTTTTCAATAATAATTTTCGTTTTGGAAGAACAGGAAGGAAACCAACGCATGACTTTCTGTCACTGTACAGTCATTCTAGCGTCCAAGATCCGAGGCCACCTTCTCAAGGTAATTTTTATTTCTTATTTTTAGGATACGAAAATTTTTTTTGAAAAATTAGTATAAAAATATTTGTTTTTTTATCTCCTTTTATCTTGCCTTATTTTCATTTTCATTTTTTTTTATTTTTTATTTTAAATTATAAATATCGTTACATTTAGAGTTGGTTTTATTTTTATTTTTGAAAATTTTGGCCATCTTTAGAGAATTAGAGTTTTATTAGGGATCAGGATTTGGAGTAGTGCACGTGACTGCATTTTTTTTGCGAACGAATGGATCATGGCCCAATTGAAACTTTGGATGGGTCCATTAGAAGAAATTAAATTAAATACTAATAGTCTTAAAAAAATAAGATGGTAGATGAGAAAATTCCAAAAAAAAAATTAATGGATGGTGGTATAAGCGGCTAAAAGAGTTTGCATTTTTTTTTTTTTTTAGTTTTTTCAGTTCAAATTTATTAAAAATAGAGAAAAGATAAATTTTTTTTTAATTCATTAAATTTGATGTAAAGAAAATTTTGTTTAAATTAATTTAAGCAGATGTACTGAACGGAGCTTAAGAATTTTTTATAAATAAAATCATTTAATAATTCCGATTTTGAATTATTTTAAGTACTAAATGATCAATGAAAAATTTTATTTTAATTCAACACCAACCCAACCCAAAACCGTTTTGACGAGAATGACTTTCACGTGAAACTGATGGAGATGGATAGGGTCAACATTTTTAAATAAGCAGCGTTTTAAGCTGTATTTGAACCCATTGGTTTCGATTCTTATGTACTTAATATTTTTTGTATTGTTGTTTTGGTGTGATTTATTTGTTATAATCTTTAGAGCAGCCATGAAAAAGCAAGAGAAAAGGGAGAATTGTCTACTTATTATCATTTTCGATCGCCAATTTGGAGTTTGCCATGGCTGATTAGTCACTACATTTTTGTCCCAAAAATTGAATTATCCTACAAGCATATATGCTATATGCTGGAAAGGTCTTTTCTTATCCCAGATTTGATTTGTTTGGTCGTGTCTAAATGAGCAGGTGGGTATCTTAAAACTCATGATTTCCTCCAACTGGAACGACTAGGGAAGACAAGTGCCAAGGAGGAAACACCAGTCGAGGTAGCAACGGCTGAAAAGCCGCCACCGCCTGCACCACCTCCTTCTGTGGAACATATTCTCCCGGGTGGAATTGGAACTTACAGTATAAGCCACATTTCCTATTTTAATCCACGGGTTCCAAAAGCAGAGGAGGCATTATTCGCTGTAGCTCAAGGGAGTAGTAGCGAGAGAAATGACGAAAACTCCAACTGCAGTTCTTACACTGGAAGTGGTTTCACTTTGTGGGAAGAATCTGCACCAAAGAAGGGAAAGACAGGGAAGGAGAATACCGGAGAAACACCCGTTGTAAGAGGTAAAAGTTTTTCTTACTCTATGTGCGACACTTCTCTACTAGCTAGTACATCATTTTGAAATAGTACTGTCATGCATGACTAACCTATGCATTTATTATCACCATTATTCTTGCAGATGATTTATTTGGAAATGCAAAACTCCGCTGAAATACACTTAAAATAAACCTATGGAACACATGCTAAACATATGCAACTGTTAGATTTGTTTCCCATTTCATCTGCATGCGCATGCAAAGTCTTCGCTATAAATTTCGGCTTGGTGACCAGCGTGGAGTTTCGTAGCATATAAAGCTGCCAGATGTTCCTAATTATTGATGAATTTAAGCATGGATTTAAATATTTCATATTTGGTTGATTTTGTTTAATTTTGGATATATAAAATCCATACTATAACAAATTTTATAGAGTCAAGTTAAAAGTTTTTCTCACCTGTGCCAATTCAAAATAAAATCAAAATTAACATTTCATATTTGGTTTCACTTTACTTTACACTATATTATATGTGCTCTATGTTATGGTCCAAGAATGCATGTTTATCCGTCGTAAGCAACACATCAGTCAAATAATGGAATTGGAACCTTAGTATAGAAACTGAATCTAATGTTTAAAGTTTTTTGTATTTGAGTGGCAAATTAAAACAAATCAAAGTATAATTAAGTCCTTATTGTCCATGGTTATGCTCGTTAACTGATGTCGTTTGGGCGCCTAATTTGGACAGAAGCGGCGGGGAAGGGGGAGCAATGGGCCACATCGTCGTTGGAGAGGGCGTCGCAGTCGTCAACTAACAACCATCGCAATATTTTCGGCTCTCCCTCTTCCTCTCAGTCGGTCACTTTCTGTTTTCATTTCTTTTATGGCTGTTTTATTTATGTTTATTTCTTAGTTAAAAATTAAGGATATCTTTGGATCTCCTTAACAGGCCATCATCAAAGCAGAAAAGCCAAAGCTTCATGGAAATAATAAAATTAGCAAAGGGTAGCGCACAAGATGATGATTTTAAAGAAGATGAAGGTTCTGTTCTCAAGAAAGAGAGTTCTACTACTACCCATTGTAAAGGTAATCACTTTTCTTGGATTACACTACTCTGAATACTGTATATTATTGTAAATAGTAGTGACCTAAATAAAAATGTTTCTTTCTTTTGTTAAAGGTAAGTATTTGGATATGGGAACTGTAATTTTTGAGACCTCAAATAAAAATTCATTGGCCTTGTAGTTTTTTCTTCTTTTTACAGGAGAATTGAGAGTAAAAGTGGATGGAAAGAGTGCAACTGATCAGACGGCCAACACCCCAAGGTCAAAACATTCTGCTACTGAGCAGCGGAGGAGGAGTAAGATTAATGACAGGCTAGTATAACTTTAACCTGCTTCACATTTAATAATTGTTAACCTTTTTCGTTTAAATTTGGATGAGTTTTATTTCTTATTTTGTGAACAATTATATTTGGTGATTTCTCATGTTGAATTTTTCCCTTTGCTCTCACAAGAAAATCCTTCAAAAAGAAAAATTTGAAGAATATTGAACGCTTTTGGTTACATCTTATGATGAGATGGATTCCTCTTGAGAAACTTCTAGATTCAACAGAAAATCTTCATTTGTTTCACATATTGGTTCCGATGTGATATGAGGGGGAATTTCATGTGGATTTGTGGATAGTTTGTAGGAAGTCTTTCTCAAAGTGAAATTCGAAATCAAATGCTGTTTAGTAACCGGAAAGTGGAACTGTCGTGATACTAAATCATCATTAGAATCTATCAATTCTTTTGCAGATTTCAGATGTTAAGAGATCTCATTCCTCATAGTGACCAAAAGAGAGATAAGGCCTCATTGTTATCAGAGGTACATAGATTTCTTGTACTAGTTATGATTTATTCTTTCTGATTTCAAAATTTTGAACAATGGTGTGTTCCATTCCATCTACTCACAGGTTATCGAGCACATTCAATTTTTACAGGAAAAAGTACACAAGTATGAGGGAACAGATCAAGGATGGAACCATGAACCATCGAAATTGATGCCATTGGTAAATTCTACACTTGGCTCTTTTAAACGAAAATTTGCTCAGACGATGATGATTTTTTTTGGCATTATAGTTTTTGAATATCGACAATTTTCAACGACTGATCATCAACTTTGTCTGAAACAGAGAAACGACCACGGACACACAGAAAATTATGCTGATCAATCCATAAATGGTTTGTCGTCGGCTCCTGCCTTAATTTTTTCTGCAAAGCTAGATGAGGAAAACATCACCGTCACCCCAACTATTCCTGGAACTGCACGTAACCCTATAGAATCTGATATGAGCTCAGCTACTAACTTCAGAGCAATAGACCTTCGTCCTGGAATGACGAATAAGACAATACCCTTTCCTATGTCGCTACAGACAAGCTTCTTCACCTCTGCCCGGAGTGCTGGGGTGGCAGCTCAACTTCCACCTAGATTGCCATCTGATGCAGAAAATTGTGCATCTCAGCCTCAATCTGTACAATGTCATACTGGATCATATACTACTAATGGCGCTCTTCCTACTGAAAAGCTGAAAGAACAAGAACTGACAATTGAAGATGGAACAATTAGCATGTCAAGTGCATATTCACAAGGGTGAGTTTTTACTTATTTCATTTTTTAATTTGATGAATGATCTAATTTCAGAGAAATTTCTTCATAGTCCTTTTAGAAATTACATGATTTGATACTTGATCATGGTGTTTGATAGGTTGTTGAATACTCTAACGCAAGCGCTGCAGACTTCAGGAGTGGATTTGTCACATGCCAGCATCTCAGTGCAAATTGAGCTCGGAAAGCGATCTAGTAGTTGGCCTATTGCTCCAACGTCCACACTTAAGGTTGTTTGCCATTGCTACTTCCTTTCCATTTTCTCTTTCATTATTATTAGAATTTCACATGAAATTCTAGCATCTTATTTAATTTTCATCTTGTAAAAAACCAATGAATTCAACCTAATTCTTCCCCATTTACCATGCTCTAGGATAGAGAGGCTCCATCAACGAATCAGGAGACGGTAACACGTTCTAGAGTTGGATGCGGTAAGAATTCTGATAAACCCCTAAAGAAGCTTAAGGCACGAAAACAACTTTCTTGACAATTCCACTATTTTTTTTTTTTTTTTGGTTACCGGAGGATGTTAAGATCGAGTCCTGATCATTGAAATTAAGAATTCAACACTCTATCAATAGATCATATGACTGTTGCTCATGATATTTTTTTTTATTTAATTAATTCATTTTTTTTTTGGAGTACCAACAAAGATCCATGTACATCTAGTAGGCAAGCTTTGATCTTTGTTGGGATATATGCATAGAATTCCCACCAAAACAAATATGCATTATTCATCTTTCATTTTGTTGTAATTCACCATATCCATGCCAAAAACCTGCTTTTCATTGAAGGCTTCCATCATCTGAAGTTTCTTTCAATGCTGTCATTATTTGTTAAAATTTTTTTTTTTTGGGATACATTCATCTCTCTTGTTGGAACAAAAGAATTTTGTTACCTTTCATATACTTGAAATGCCTAACTGCAAAAATTTCAATATCTTATGAAAAGATTTTATCATGATTTACATGGAAAAAAATTATGGCTTTAATTTAATTTATTTCTCTTTAATTCATTGCATTTAATTTGTTCCAATGCCATTTTTTTGTCAAGTAATTGTGTTTACTTGACAATTATAATTAATTATTATATGTATGTATAATATATCCTTGAATAATCAATTAATAAATTAAAACATAATTAGATAACTAAACACACAAAATAAGACTTGAACATAAGATCTCAAGATTCTAGAGTCTTTTCTTTACCAATGTATCAATGCCTTTTTGGCCCGTAGTCAAAAGAATGTTTAACCAACAAAATTCATTTCATTTTCCTTAGGTATTGCAAAAATAAATTAATTTTATTTATTTATTTTTTTTTTACAAAAGCAATATGAAAATTGTGCAAGAGGATATGAGTGTTAGGATTTGAAATATTAATTTAGCCAAAATATGAAAAAAAAAAAAAAAAACTCTTGAATTATATCTTCTACTTTTTTAAAAAATAATTTTATATACTTTTATTATATTCAAATTAACTTTTATACATTGATTTATATCTAAATAAGCACTTATTTTAAAGGAAATATTGATTTATGTAAGGATTTATTAATGTATAAATTAAAAGTTAAAAACTTATTTGGGTGTAAATTAAAGATTTCGAAATTATTTGTATAATAAAAGTATAAAATATTATTCAAATAAAATGATAAAATTCAATATATTTTTTTATTAATGTAACCTATCAATTTCTACAAAAAGGCGAATTACCGAGCTTACTAATAATTCAAAAATCTTTAAAATAAATAATAATTTGGAAATTAATGTGATTTGGATTAGGCTCTTCTTCATCAACAGACAAAGCACATTGGATAAAGCGAGAGTCAATGTTATAAGGCAAACATGGTTTGATACTGACAGGACATTGCCTTAGCCTTGCCTACTTCAACGTAAACTCTAACCGACCCTTTTGCACTTGTCTTCTACGTTGTATTAATAATTTAAATTAAAAAGTCTGTAATAATAATTTAAATTTGGAAGTTAGGTGAGAAAGAAAAACTTCACCAACCATTGTAGGCCGAGTCGTCCTTCATATTATCTTGGAAGTTGGTAGTTATTTTTCATGAATGGTTCCACGCAATTGTTTAAAAGGTGGCTTTTGGGGACAAAAACAATGAATGCCAAAACAAAGTTTTCCCCTCCTTTCTTTAGATGCGTAAGCAATTAGAATTACTCTTTGAACACGACAAATGTTTATCCCCTCACGTCCCAACCAATCACTACCTTTTGGACCAAAGAAGTAAGAACCAATGTTGTATCATTGATTGTTGCCACATTATTTTTTGATATTTAAAGCTTAGAGGATTTGCATTCAAATCATTCGAATTACTTTTTGAAACTACTAAGATTTACATTTTTATCATTGAAATTGAAAGTCCAATATTTTATCAATAGTAGCTATTGACATTGTTACCACATTGTATTATTATTATTATTATTAAATTTAAAATTTAATTCAGTAGATTTATACAATCATCTTTAAAAGATGATATTTAACAAATCTAAAATTAAATCTCAACAATATCTTCACAACCTCTTCCTAAGTCCTAAGACGGTCTGTACAAACAATAATCACTTAGTGGTGTCAATCGTTCTTTGATCTTCTCTTTTTCTTGCCTAGGTGCGTGTCAAAATCTGTCACCCTTCTTTCAAAAGTGTCTTTTTAATGCATTATCAAAACCAAGTTAAAGTGAATGCCCTTGGTTTGCTTATCTAATATCCTATGACTGCAACAAAATTGGCCTCATTTATAAATAGCAAGCCTAATTCAAATAATTCACAAAAAATGGATCATAGTAAATGGAAAGAACCAAAAGTCGGAAACATGTTTAACCAGCATGATTGGTTATGCTTTCGGTATCAAATGTGAAAATTGACTGCTTCAAGGAACAGACTAAATGCTCACCAACCTTGGTAATGGAACAAGCAAAATTGACAAATAGCCTCATTGATAAGCAAAGCAAACTACCATACTATTCCAACTAGAAGTAAAAACCAAGTCACTTGACCCGAAATGTCAAGTACCAATCATTTCAGCTTTGCTTAGTAGGAAGGAAGGAAAAAGGTAAGAATAAAAAACTTGTTAATACGATGGTTAAAATTCATAACCACTTTCCTATTTTGTTGCTTAACTATTAGATTAACAAATTTTTCATTCCAAGCTCTTTACATCCTCTCTACCAAGCAAAGCCTTAATTCATAAAGTGTAGTAAAGATGATATTCAATGCTTTTAACCATTCCCTGCATTGATGGGGCCATATTAAAAAGAAATACAATGAATTCTAGAAATGTGATGTATGCTATAAACTAATTAGATCATAGTAAAAGAAACAAAAAAATGCACAGAAGGGCAAGGGATTAACCTTCCATGAATCCAGTCTCGGTTACCCAAATCTATACTTGCATCCCTCTTTGTGTACAACACATTTTGATTTGATATTACCCTATACTGGCAGGGCAGATCTTCTATACTCAGCTTCTGATTATTTGCATATATTAAAAATTTTGGTGTCCTCCATCTGCTTTGCAAGAACCTCTCAGGCTTTCTTCAAGTTTTACTGTCCCCAATCATCTCCACAACTGCCTCCTAGGAAGAAAAACTCCATTATCTTCATACTTCTGTAGAGAAACTACCTTGTGGATTCAGGCATGATACCTAGCACTCTCAGAAAAAAACCTGATAAACATCGCAATCCACAGACAGAAAGATCACGTGCTACTTAGTTGACCATATGATGGTTGCAAGCATTCTTGTGGGTTGGCATAGAAGTAATCTTCTTCTTTAGGTCTGTCAGGGATCACCAACCTATTTGTTGGTTGCCCTCTGCGATCTTCATGAGATTCCTTCACAGCATCTGAGAACTCATTCCAATTTAGAGATCCACTATTGTACTGGTCTATCAGATCAACCAAAAGCCTTCTGTTCAATAAAATAGTCTGCTTGAACCCCAGAAATCTGAAGGAGCATTCAACACTCAATTGTTACATTTATGAAAAATACCTTTGACTATGCAAAACAAGAAAATACACTATCAGTATAACCACTTGGAAGAGAAACATCATAAAAAACACTCATAAAATGGAAGATAGTGACTGGTTGAAACACAATCACGACTGAGGAAACTGCCCTTATTTCACAGCACGAAATAAACAAACTATTGCCCTCTTGATGATAGATATATAAAAATGGTGATGTTAAAACATGGGTGGATTAGAATTTCCAAAATTATTCATCTCATCTGAATAAAAAAGGACTTTTGAATCATTCAATAAAGGCAAGAAAAGCTTTCTGGAAGTATTAAGAACAAAACTATCTGCAGAACTATACCTGCGATGGCCTTCAACGACTTTAGCCATGTTTCCATCATATGTAGGAATAAAAATATCACTCTCCAATGAAACGAGATAATCTAATGCTGCCATCTGGGATGAATGATTTTGAAAAAACCCAAGGTCTGATGGCTCCAAAAGAGTCTCCTTTCTAACCTGTTTTAACAAACAAAAGACTGATCAATGATACAGGAGAAAAAAAAATTTAAATTACTACATTGAGTTTGCTGAACTTCTACCTACTTACCAATTTTGGATAAGCTGCAGCAAGACTAGCCATTCTCCTCTCTCCACCATATATTTCACCAGCTGCAATATAGATCTGGTAACTGTTATCAATGTCCAGCGCCCTCAAAATAAGGGCAGTTTCCTCAGGCGTCAAAGGGCACAAACCATCCTTCCTTTTCAAGTCAGAATTTATTATTTTTTCTTTCCACCAGGGATAAGCATATCTGCAAAAATGGTTGTGCGAGAAGAATGAGATTGAAGTTCAAAAAAAATTTAGGCCTGCCGGTGAACTAATTGTTGAAGATTCATGTACAGCTCACCTCATTCTTGTCAACTCCTCTATCTCCTCGTTGTTGCAACCTTGGGTACAGCCAGAAAATGCTAGCATGTCCATTTCATATCTAAGATGAAGCACTATAAAAGGGCCATTTTGCCTCAGAAGCCTACAAACTCGTTTACCCAACTCCTCTATCTGAGAAGTGAATCTCAAGGCACTAAAATTTACACGACATCGCAGCTTCTGAATATCTAAAGGCTGCCCATTGTTGGCAAGTCGAGTATCAGTTCTATTCAAATGTACAACTTTATACTTCTGTATCAGAGGAAGAATCTGCAAGAAATAAAGAACAAAACATACTACTTTAAGAGGGGTCTTGGAGGAAGGAAAAGAACTGGAAAAGAAAAAAAAATTGAAAAAGAGAAGAAAGAACAAGATAAATTAAGTTAAGTCTAAAATGCTCTAGGTGCATAAAACACGTGGTAATAACAGAATTTGACCTGGTTATGGTAATAGGATATATCAGACCAGCTAATTGGTGGCATGGAGTACACCATTCCCATTTCCACTCTCCTCTTAAGCCTAGGAGGCAACTCCTTCAATATTCGAACCTCATCTCTCAGTGATGTAATGAAATGATCCACATCAAATATAACTTGAAATTCACTACCATATCAATTAAAAACACATTTACAGATATGTAAGAAAAAGAATCTCAGTTCAAGGACTATATTTTATACCATCCTTATATCCAATAGCTTCAATCATGAGAGCAAAGCTTAGTTAACACACCTGGGGTCAGCCCAGAAGGATGTTTTATCCAGCTCCGGGACTATAAGTGTCACATTCAAATATCTTGCAATGGTAACCATGTCACAAATCTGTCCCAAATATGAAAGAACACGGCATCAATTTACACAACAAACAATGCACGAACTTACATAATCTAGACGGTTAAAAAAAATACAATAAAAAAGCAATAGTTTAGAGTCCTTTGCTAAAGCACTCACTGCTGCTCGCATTTGATTGAGACCTCCGTTGCATGAAACCATCAAGTAACCATTGTTCTTATATACCCCTAATGTCAACAAACAAAACATTATAACACTTTAGGATCTAAATTCCATAACCAGAAAAATTAACATGAGAAAACAAATATACAGTAAGTACCAAGGATCCCTAAAACTTAAATGAAAGAAAATTCAAGGGATAAACGGATAATGATTTCAAGCAAATATACACAAGAACAGGAGGATAGAATTCGATAAAACTAAGACATATGATGGATACATTGGAGAGCATCAAATTGATGTAAATTCAATCTAAATCACTATATCAAAAGAAATGCACTTCAGGAATTTGCGAAATCGTCAATAGAAAGAGCTGAAAATCCCCACAACGGAGGAGGAGGAGGAGGTGCTGGTGGTGGAGAAGAACTTACTTTTGGGAGGAAGGAGACGGGCGGGAACAGAGGGGACTTTGTCTTCAATAACAGAAACAGAGGAATCATGGTGAGAAAAACACGAAGGCCAACCTTGAAGGACGCGTGGTCCCCAGGTCTCTCCTAAAGCCGTTAATTGTACGATGCAAGTCCAAAGCAACACCGATGTGGTGGCGCGTATCATCCACAGCTTCATTCTCGAGGTCTTCAACTTCTCCACTCTCTCCCCTCCGCCTCCTCCTCCCCCCTTCATTATCCCCATTCTTATCCCCTCTTTTCCCCTTTCCCTTCAACGCTGCACATCTCTAGCAACAACCTCAATCTCCACTCTCTTCATCCCCTCAACACGACACCGCTTTGTTCCTTCAAATTCGATGAATGCAGGTCGATTTTCAGACAATTTTCATCTAATTCAGTAGCCAGCACAAAAAATCAAAAAATAAAACCTAAGAGAATCTACGACGTCGGTTAACTTCCAAAAATAGTACAAAAAAATCAAAATCAATCAAACAGATCCAATTTTCTCCTCTTCTTCCCAAATGAAACTCAACAACTTAACCTATTCCAATCGAATTAATAAACTAATTTTCAAAAAAAAAAAAATTTCTACTCCTTCCCGGCGAGAAACTGTCGTGTAGTCGCCATTGAAACCCGCATGACGATCAAGAGAATAAGAGAGAAAGAGGAAATTTAGAGAGAAAACAGAAATAGAAATGAGAACAAAACGCCGCGTACTTGGCTATGCATTTACGACCAGAGCGAGGGAGAGAGGGCGATTGGAGCCGTACACCGCTGGGTGCACTTTTTGTAACCATGGTTTACGGATCCAAAGAATTTGTTGACTAGGGTTAGCTTTTGACTAGACTCGATTGACAATCAAATTTCAACCAATAAATGCCTGCCAGCTGAGTTAATATCTGACCGGGCCCAGCATTTCCCCTTCACGGCGGCCACCTGGTAAAAGAACACGTGGCGCTCTGAGGATTGGTGGTTCTTTGGTCGCCGTTAGATTCTAGACGGCATTAAATCAACTGTCGAGACGCCGACAATATATCGCGAGAATTTCGGAATGTGGGGTCGCCTTGCGTTGATCAAATCTAGATATAGAAAAAAATATCGGGAAAATTTTCATTTGCCGTTATGGTTAAAAATAGAAAGAAGTGTTTTTAAAAGTACGGTTGAAATGAATTAAAATATTTAAATATATAAAAATAAGGATTATAAAATAATTTTTTAAAAATTATGAATAAAATTACGAAAATTACAAAAAATAAGGATTATAAATGGGTTTATATTTTTCTTTCTTAATTGATGAAAATTTTAAATAAATTGTTAATTTCAGTAAGGAAATATTTTTCTTTTTTTTCCACACAATAAAAAAATAAGAAATTAGAAAACCACAATTTGGTTTGAAATTTGTTCTAGTTTTGCTGCCTATTGCAAAACATTGATTCAAAATTTTTTTCATAACCGGCTCTTAATTTTAGCCGTTTCCAGTCAGTCTCCGTCGGAGTGTCGATTTCGCGTTGAAGACGGCGTTCGTCTGTCAGAACAGTTCACGCCAGCGGCCCAGGTGTCAAAATCTAACGCTCTTGACCTATCAGATTGCTTGTTCAAGGTCCGTGGGATCCATCAAAAAGTGATTAAGATGGTCGTGCCCACAAAAAGCAGATGTCTTTTTCTTTCACGCGCTCGAGGCAGTAGGGCGGTGAATCGAAAGGAAAGACCAGAAATGTTTGGACCGTGAATTTGACGCTGTTGATTGGCGATGGTTTATTATTCATGCTTATTGTTGTTAATGGCGTTGCTACGTGGCGAGATCTCGCAGTGGTACAAATGAGCCGGTCGGGTCTAGTTAGGCATGGTCGAGGATCCTCTGGGACACTAGTGGATAGGATCACCATCATCTTTTCGATAGATTTCATATGTAAAAAAAATCACTTAGTTAATGTTGAATATTTTACGTGAGATCGTGATAATATAACTATTGATGTAATTTTATTGTTCGTTATTTAAAATTATTTTATTAGATTAATAATTATTAATAATTAATAATTTTAGATTATTGTATTTAATATTATTAAAAATTATATATTATTTTATTTAAGAAATAAAAATAATTTTAAATATTATAATAGTTATACAAGTAATGATTTTAATATTATTTAAATATAATAATTTGTAAAATATTAGTAATAATTTATTTATTTGGTAACAAGATATAATTAATTATTAAACTAATAAATATATTTATTGATAGATAAATTAATTTTTATAATATAAATTATGTAAAAAATTTTGAATTAAAAAATAAAATTAAACTATTAAATTCATGATAAATGAAAAACAAAAAGATTACATTATATATAAAATATTTACAAAAAACAAATTATTTTTTATTTTATTATAATAAATATTAATTTTAAAATATAAAATAATTATAATTTTAAGAGAAAGTAAATTTTTAGTTCATATATTGAATGAGTAATATTGATTATTATTAATTTTTCAAATCACTTAATCTTTATGATAAAAATTTTCAATATTTTTTGTGAGAATTAAATTATCCTCTAATATAGTAATTTAATCACTCTCAGTTATCCAAAATTATGTCACATAGGATCATTAAATGTTTACCAAACACAATAATTTAATCATTATTTGTAAATCATCATAATTTTTGAAGCGATCACCTAAAACAAACACTACCTTAATCAAATAAAATTAACAAAGCAACTTATAAAAGAATAAATTCAACATAAAATTTTGATTGAATTCACACAAAATAAATTTTAAATTTTAAAATGTCAAAAGCTTTTCTTGTTGAAATCAAATCATTATTAACGAGTCGTTTTGATTTTAAAATAGGTAATTTTGATTTTTTTTTCATTTTCATTTTCATATATTGCAGGGTTTTTTTTCCCACAAATTCAAATTTTGCAAATATAAAATATTGGATTATGGATTAATTATAATTTTTGAATTTATCTACATTTGCAAATAAGTATTAAAAAAAAAAAGATGTATCTTGAGGTTAAAAGTTTTGAATTAAATAATAATTTTGTTCATAATAAAAGAAACAAAGATATGAACTTTTTTAATGGTAATGAGGTTATTTCCAATTTATAATTGGAATGTAAAACTATATCTTACAATCTATATATCTATTTATATTTATAATATTATATATCTATCTTCTATCTATTCAATTACTAAATTTACTTAAAAATCAATATTCTAACAAAAAAATTTATTAATTTTATAAAAATATATTTTTAAAAAGTATTCACTCATTTAAATATATTTATCTAATTAAATACAATCCCTCAAAAAAAAAAAAAAACTAATGATTGTGGCATTTAATAAAACCATGGTTGAAAATGGCATATTAAGAAAATCTTCTATAATTATGCAAATTTTAGATCTGTATATCTGTGACTACATTTTATAAGAATGCCCAAAAAAAAAAAGTAATAGCTTATTGGCTTTTTCTTGGTATGGTAATTGGAAATGAACTTTCTAAATAAATACTAAAAGAATTTGGTTTTCTACAAATACTAAAGGAATGATATTATTAAAAAAAATTTTTTTTGACTATATTGATAAAGTTTTTTTCCCATTTTTATTCTCTCATCCTATAAGTTGGGTATAAGAATAAAACATAAAGGGGCCATTAAAAGAAGGTTAGATTAATGGTTTAATTAAGCTACAATGTCAAATTAAACCACCAAAAGATTGTAATATTATCCTTCGCAAAAATAATTGTAATTAGTAAGATAAGCGTGCAAAAAAGTATATTTCAATCATTATTTACTTCAATTAGCCCTTAATTATTTTTCTAGAATGTAAGTGTGAATTTTTAATAAAAAAGTTTTGCATTGAATATTTGAGACTTCATATCTTGAGCTATAACACTAATATTTTGACTGATAAATAGTTAAATGAAAAAATAGAATATGTCTGAGATATTTATTTATTTATTTTTGAAGTTTTAAACTTTATTTATACCAATAAATTTCAAGAATTTGAATGTGTAATTAACTTAATCTTAATCTAGTTAAGTTGTGCGATCATTTTTAAAAGATGATATTTTTGTAAATATAAGATTTAAATTCTAATATTTGTATATTTTTATTTATTTTTCAAACTACAATTCCTTTGAAAAAAGAAAAAACAAATTGATCTGTAGCTAATTGAAGCTTTTATGCGAGCAAATTTATTTTTAAACAAGAGTAAAATTATATTATACTTTTTTCTTAAATTACAGGCAATAAATTTAATTGTTCTTGTAAATAAAATGAAAATTTGACCGATTAATTCCTTCATTTGCCCACTTTCAATTCAATAATTCAGGAACTAAAAAAAAAAAAAAAATCTGAAAGAAAAACTTGAATTAAAGTTGAAAATGATAGGGAAACAAAGCAAATATTCTAGTGGGGGGAACATGCTAGGATTCATGAAATGGCCATCCTAAGTCTTAATTATTGTCATATTGAAAGAACAGAAAATGACACATTTTGACTTTAGTGGGGTACAAATTGTGGTGTGGTTGCACTCTCTAGATTCCCCCTTTAAAGAAAAGATATTTATAGATAAAAATTATGGCTTTTTTGTATAGATTTTGTGTCGAATCAAATATTAAAAATTATATTATATTTTATATAAAAATTACGTATTATAATTTATATTAACATAAAAATATAAAATATATATTTTTAGATTTTCTTTTTAAAGAAAATATAAATATAGATAAAAATTATGGCTTTTGTATAGATTTTGTGTCGAATTAAATATTAAAAATTATATATTTGTATCGTATTTTATATAAAAATTACGTATTATAATTTATGTCAACATAAAATATAAAATATATACTTTTTGTTTTGTTAAATATATATATAATTATTGTTATAATTTTAAGTTGTATTTTATTTTTCATATTGTATTCATATTATATCATCATATTATATTTAGATGATCAAATTTACTTTTGTATTTGTCTAATTATAAAAGCAAACAGATGCTCCCCCAGACTTCCAGACCAAATTTCGAAGGTTCAACAAAGAAGATCCTTCGATTTGATTTTAATTGTTTATTATATATTTGTAAATTAAAGTTAAGAATATACAATCTTGTATTATGATTAAAACTAAGCAAATAACATCAAATAAACATATTGTTTTCATAGAAAAACCACCTAGAAGTTCACTAAGTTTGCAATCATAATATATAAATTATTTTTTATATTGATAGTGAAGTTTTTTTTTTTTTTTTTTTTTAATTTTCAAGTGAGTTTATATGATTATCGTGTATTTATTTATATATTAAATGAGTAATTATTTTTTTAAATATATTCTAAATGAACATTGATCAATCTTTTAATCCGTTTGTAGTATTAAAAAAAGTTCTAATCGCAATTCCAAATAAGTTCTTAATTTGGGTTATGGAGTGAAAGCAAAACGATGGCATTTTTTGCTGGCAACCAGATACCTTACGGCAAAGAAGGCAGTGTGTAGTATTCAAAATTGGGCAGTAAAGCACTTGACGTTGTTTTCTAAATCATTGTAATAAGATGCAATGATACCTATCTTATAAGACAACATTCCAAAGAATCCAAACAGCATGGACAAGATTCTAATAATCTAAAAAGCCAATATTGTTGGCAATTACCAAAGAAAGCCGATGGATCTGGTCTCCTCTCCTTGATAATTGTCGAATGCAATAATATAAATTAAGAGACCGAAGAAGCAATGAGAAAATCAATGAAAATTAAACATGTTTTTTTATTTTTTATTTTAACTTGAGATTATAAAAAAAAAATTTTTTGATCACTAAAATTAAGAGTTTTAACATTTTATTAATAAATCATAGAGCTGATATAAGCATAATATTCAGTATTTACGATAATTTCAATAATTTCATTATTGATGTTCAATAGCGTTTGCTATATAATAAGAGTGAAATGCACCTTGAACCATATCTTATACACGTTATCCCAAAACATATATATATAATTATTAATTAAACAAATTAACTAGAAATAATCTTTCAAGTACAAGGCATATATACTTCTAGCTAGTATGTAAAAATATAAATAAATTAATTTTTGAGAAAAAAAATTTAATGTTATTATTATTAATATAGAATTTTTACTATCAACAAAAGTTTCATTTCTTTGTTACTTAGGGTTCTATTTTAATAATAAAATTATGAATGCATCAAACTGATAAAGAAAAACTAATCTTTTAAGATAGTTCAAAAAGAAAATTAAACATAGATAAAACTTGAGAATATCCCTAACAATATTTAATAATATAATTTATAAAAAGTCATGTTCATTGTTACCATTGGATAAATTATAATTATTAACTTATAAATATTGGTTTTTTGTTTGCAAAATTTGCTAAGAAGCTTGAATAATAAGTATTTATATTAATTTTTTCTCAAACTTTAATTACAAAGGTTAAAAAGTAATCAATATTGTTGCTATTTTTTTCCTTTGAAGTTTTTCTGAGGCAAAGGCTTTCCTATCATATACAATGCCAGACCTAACTCTTTTACCTGATCATATTTATGTGCTTATAGGAATTAACTCATTGAAGCTCGGAAGGACATCTCGATACAATAGATTTGTATATTCATCCTGAACAGACTAAGCTTCATGGTGAGAAATTACTTCTATTAGGCCAACCTAATACCTCGTGCAAATCAAATTTAACTAAGTGGCATGATCTTATCGTTGTGGTTGGCTTACAATTTTCACTGTTTGTTATTGGAAAGTTAATATCATTCTCCAACGTCCCTATTAGTATCTTCTCATTTACGCTTGTGATAGAAATAAGGAGTTTTTCTCCTCAATACGAAGATGTGCATTTAACCCAATTGCATTAATTTGATTGATTCATGATCTTGAGTCCGTAACTTAACTTGAACATAACCTTGAAGTTCTATAAAATTTATGTGATATTGGCACTTTTTTTTATTGATTGGGAAAAAAAAGTTTACTTAAACAAAATTTTTATAATGTCTATATTTGAATTATACATAAGAAATAACTTTTTTTTTCATCATGAAGTAAATCTAACCTCTTTTTTGCAAAAGTAATAGTGAAATTTAATCAAATCTAAAAGATGGAGATTTGTAAAAAAATCTGCTTGCAGGTAAGTGATAAATTTATGAAATAATTACGCGAGTTCTTGGGATTCAATGTGCAACCTCCTTACCAAAAGAGAAAGAATGTGACAGAAAAAGAAACACCGATGTTTTCTTATATAGACAGAGAGCTATGAATTACCTGCTAGTTCTTTGTTCTACGGAAAATGCTTTAACTAGCAACATGGAGACTTCCTCCTTCTGATCTGATAGCAATGATTCACCATGTTGGGACCAGTTTCTGGATCTTCTATGATTTGTCCTTCTCATCATCCTGCATGTTCCAGCTAGTTTTAGAATAAATGTAATTACATTCATTTAAAAGATTGTGAAACTCCTAGCCAGGATAATGAGCTTTGAGCATATTGACACATCAAAATGATAATGGTTGGAAGGAAAACCGAAATGCAAGGAAACCAAATATGTTGTGATACATTTGTCCAATAGCACAAGCATGCACCATCACATAAAGTCCTTGATAAAAGTACATCAGGTAAAATCAATTTTGGGTCATTTTGTTCTCGGAAGCTTGCATCCCTTTATTTGTTTACTTTTTTGTTATCAAATGGTAAAATGATTCTCTTAAAATGGAAAACTGGTAGAACCGTAAAATCAGGAAGCTACAAAAATGTAGAAATCACACTGCATCGTATTCAAGCTCACTATTTTTTTTTTTTTTTTTGAGTAAAAGTCTGACTTAAGGATATGAAGTCATTTATATTGAATAGCTTTCATTTTCACTTTTAGAAGTCCAATCTACTGCATGCAATCTGACAAAGATATGAAACAACAAGATCTAGTCCATAAATTTATACCCAGCTAAATGATGAATGAGACAGAACTGTGCTTACCGAACTGTCCACCATTTTATCAAAATCATCATCAAAAACCTCATCTGTGTCATCTGAAGCACCAATCAGATGATTAGCATATTCAAAGCATTCACACACACAAAAAAAAAAAAAAGAAACTAAAAAAGATCTGGAAGAGTCATTTTTCATTTACACCAATTTAAAAGTATATCAATAAAATTTGACCATAAAAACAGTGACGTAGACTCTAATGTAGAAAAAAATTTGCAGGAATAAGGACAATTAACAAGCTACCTTAATGAATCAAGAAACAAAAAAAGGAACAAAAAGAAAGAAATATTGTACCAGGGCCTTCATCACTGTCACCACCCAAAAGAAATGCATCCAGGTCTTGTTCAGTAGATGAGGTTGAATATTTACTATGCTGTTTGGTTTCCTTTGCTTGTGAGTTAGAAGTCATTTCAACATTTGAAGATTCCTTCACTTTTTCATCTATGACTTGTTCTACAGATTTTTGCTCAATGTCTTCCGTGTATCGCTTCTCGTACCTATAACTAACCATAAGTTAGCAGAGTTTACTGCTAGTAACAGAACAATTAATACTATAACCTAAGTAAATCTGACTGAACAATTAATACTATAACCTAAGTAAATCTGACTAAGGATATGTACAATTAATTCTGACTAAGGATGTGTTTTAATGAATTTGAAAAGTTAATTGAAAAGAAATCAACACTAAATGAATTAAAAACTGTGTTCTAAAGGCTAAACTATTTTATGGCAGAATCATAATTCGGTCAAACTTTATATTTATTTATTTTTGGTTCAAAATTTTGTAAATTTTTAAAATACAAACATTAAAGAAAAGGAAAAGCTCAAGGAAGAATATGAATATATTGAGAGAAGCTCATTTAAATGAAGCTTTTAAATTCAGGAAAAGACAAAATGGAGGCTTAAAATTGAAAGACAGATTACTTACGGGGCAACATGACTGTTTACTAGTATAAAGTATATCCTCCAGAATTTCCTTTCTTTCATAACACGTGGGCACAACTCATATCTTAACTTCGAAATTTCCTGGAATATAGCATAAAAGAAAATAAAAGAATATTCTTAAGGAATGGTAGACTTAGTTACTGCAACTAACAACTAATATCAATATGCTTATGCGTGTATGATCATGGTTACCATGCTAAAAATACAAAGTTACATTCATAGTTTGTATGAAACAAATACACATTAGACTGGTCAATTTGTCCATGAAGCATTCAGGATAGAAATTCCATTAAAAATTTCAGATAAAAAGCTAGCATCACAGAATGGTGGATATGATTCAAACCTCATTGAATGTTATACTTCCAAGTTCCAACAAAAGGCCATATATCCAATAAAAATGGAAGCAAAACACCATACTCTCGCAGTTATGAAGTTTGATATAAACCACGATAGTAACAGAACATTGAACAAAGAAAAAAGGGAATTTGCATTTTTAACTAGGTGAACAGGATTGCATTTAGGATCATTATTCTTGGACAACATCTTTCAAGATCTCGCGAACTCTTTTCCTAAGGATTCTAGAATTTTCTAGCTACCATCTTTCTATTACTATATTTCATCAAATTAGAAAGTATATGACTACATGGATAATGCAAGAAAATTTGCTGGTTCCAATACATTGCGCATAACTAAGAATAGATAAACCAATAAATAAGTGGATGGAAAGTAATCAAATGCAATTATATGCATGTTACGTAGCACTTGAATATAGTGTTCTTAATGTTATTTACAAACAATTAACATTTTAATCAACATATATATTTACACCTCAACTGTTGAAAGTACAAGATTGGCATGTTTTTCTTGCCACTCCGTAAGATCTTGCCTTACATTTGAGACTATGGGAACATCAGACATGGGCGAATCGTCTGCAAATTGAAAAGCTCATCAAATAAACTCAGGGTTAAAGGCAGATAAAAGAAAGCCTCCAATTTTCCTTTTCCATTTTCAAAACTCAATTGAACTACCTAATTCCAAAAATACACTTCAGAAACAACATTTTTAATTAAAAAAAAAAATCTAAATTTAGAACATATGAATTAAGCCTAAAGCTTGTGCCATTGCATATAACATAATAAAAATTAGAATTTCTTTCTCAGTTCCTAAATTTTCTCAGTAACCAATCATAGTATTGAATTTTCAAGCTGTCAAATTTCCTTTCCAGTTTCCCACTGCCTACTTTTTCTCAGCATCCAAACAAAACTTAACGAAGAATTTACCAGGAAAAGGAAAATCCTGAAAGGTGCTCAAAGTTATCCCTTTGACAAAATCTCTTAATTCTTCATTAATTCCAAACCTCTCCAGTTCCTTCTCTTGCTCCACCTGCGTCTCCGTGTTTTGTGGCGGCGCGATCCCTTCGGCGAGCGACGACTTGAAGAGGCCGGTTCGCCTCGTGGCTTCGGCTCTGATCTGGTCAGCTCGTTTCGACGCCTCAACCGCGATCTCCTTCGACCGTTTCGCAGCCTCGTTTACTATATCAACGAGTTTGGTGGACCCAATGGTCAGATCCGACGATCGCCTAGCAGCTTCCTTTGTTAGCTCCGACGAACGTTTGGCTGCTTCCTCCGCGAAGTTTCGCGCCTTGTTCCAAATATCCATTTCCGTCCAAGCCCAAGCCAAATCCTAGTCTCAACACCTTCTTGCTTTGGTTTCTTCGTTGGGATGGTTAGAACTCAGATGGAAGGGCAGAATTTGAGTGTACACGCCTGCAATGACTTTTATTAGATTTTTTTTTTCTAATTTTTTATTGGTCATCTTTTGATGTCAATGTTCCAATAGATAGCTTTTGCTTATAATTTTATGAATTTATATTTAGGATTAGCAAGCCAAACTGATATTATATAAAAGTTATTATTTTAATTAATTAATTATTTATTTATTTATATATATATATATTTATATAATTATATATTTAAATATTATATTTTAAAAATAATATTTTATTAATTTTGAATCAAATCAGATATAATTTATATAATATAGAATTGGATCAGATTTGAGTATGAAAAAAATAAAAAAATTTTCAAATCGGATCGAATTCAAGTTTAATAAATATAAAATCGAATCGAATTCAAGACAAACAAAAATTTATCTCGATTTAATCCATTGCTAACTTTATTTATATTCAATATATTATTTGTGTATAAATATTATACATTAAAATATTTCATAAAAAATAATTTTAATATATTTTAAAAATAAATATACAGTTTATATTTTGATACATAAATATAATATTATACATTGTTAAATGCACTATAAATTATTACACAATTATTAAAAAATTTAAAAATAAATAATTATATTAAAATAGTTAACGATGTGAAGAATTATGATATATTAATATTATATAATATTAATATACAAATAGTTTATCATTTTGCTGTAATTTTGGGTAGAAAATGACCTTCCTGAAGATTCTGTATTTTCAAGTATGAATTTAGAAAGGTACGGTGATTTTTGAATTCATATATAATTATTATTAAAAATTTAAATTATATTAATTATATATTTTTATATTATATTTAAATAATATTTTCGTGTTCTATTTAAAATTTTTGTCTAAATTTGGAGATGGAAAGTAGCAAAGAATGCTGCGTCCGGCTTTGCAGCGATTAAGGTTGGATTGCTGTTGTGTACGTGCAATTCATTGAAAACTTCAATGAAAATTTTTCCTTTTTTTATTTTTTTTGTTCAAATGGGTTTAGGGCAACACTCTTGACGGCATCGCCCAATTTTTAATTTTCCTTTTCACTCTACAGCCTAATGTTTCCAAGAAAAAAAAATTTTTTTTTTAAGTTTCGATCGAATTTAAGTTTAAATTAAACTCAATTGAAAATTAAAAATTTAAAATTCGATTTGAATTCAATTTAATATTATTTTTTTAATTTAAATTTTTTTAAAAATAAAAATTAAATTACTTAAATTTATTTAATTAGATTCGATTAATATATAAAAATAAATTTAATTTTTATATTTGATAAAAATTTAATTATTTATATTTAAATTTAAGCTTAATTTGAAATATTTTATTAATTAAAATAATAAAAATATATTTAAATATAAAAATTTAATTAAATTTATGAATTACTTAAATCAAATATAAAAATATTTAAATTTAAATTTTTTGATAAATTATATTATTAAAATTTAAATTAAATTTAATAATAATTAAATCAAATTTAAATTTTATTCAAATTAAACGTGAATAATTTATACGGATTAATCAATCATTTACATCCTTAATTTTAAATTTAACTTTTAAAACTTCAAACTCTTCTTTCTCTTCCACATATCGTCACGTGTCAAAGAAAAGGACAAGAAGTTCCAAACTTATTACACAACTCAGTTTGACTTCCATTAATATGTGTCCACGAATCTAAAATCTGAACTTATGTTGCATAAAGACAAGTATAATAAATTTCTCCAATAGTTTTTTTTTTTTTTTTAATTCTTTCAGGTGTTGCTCTTGGTTTCCCTGCCCAAAGAAACCAAAACCAACACACTTTCATTCACTTTCCTTTCTGTTCACTATGGATAAATAAATCATATTTGTTGTTTTAGGCTGCCCACTTCAGCAACCCAGCGAATATTCCAATTTTGGAAACTTGCAAAAATTCAAACGTTTCTGTCACTGTTACTCTCTTCCCAGGTTCACTTCTTCACTTTTACTTTATCCATTTCAGCTTTATATTATTATTTCTACTGTTTTTATTTACCGAATATTGATGTAATTTGTTGTAGTTTTAATGATTTTTACATTATTTTAGTGGAGATTAATGGTTGTTTTGTGGTGGTATTTTATTTGGGTTTTGTTTGTTTCCTACAATTTTGTTTTTTAATTTTAGGCTGATTTTGTGGGTTTTTTTTTATGTTGTTAGGGTTCGATAAAAAGTAGGATTTGGTGTAAAATGTTGATCTTAAGCATAATTTTAAAAAGACAAAGGCGATCTACGTTAGATTAGAGGAAATGGGAGATTTATCCGCTGCTTTTGCATGTGGGTTTTCTCAGAAGACTAAGGAAAGTTTGGTGCATAAAAGATGGAAACCTGATTTTATCAGTCCTCAAGAAAATGAATTTGCTATTGCTGTTGGGTTTTCTCAAGGAAACTCTCCAGATTTCGTGATATCCGACCATGGTGTTTCCCCGATGATATCAGCTGATTTGCAACAGAATAGAGAGAATAAGAACCCGAATTCTTCGTATTTTGATTTGGTTAGTGCCGATGAAATTGACATGATGAAGTGTAGTTTAAGTTTTGGTTCCATAACTAAGAAGAGTAGGGTCATAAAGCGGCGAGGGCAGAGCAGGAAGGCAATAATTGTGTGTTTGGCGGTGCTTGGACTTAGAGTTCTAAACATAGCCCTCCATTTAGCAGTGAAGATAGAAAAGAGCATGGTAAGATAGAGTTCATGGGAATCAGATCAAATGCTTGTGCAGATTATTACCCTGTTAATGGTTTTCAGGACATATCAGATCATGAAACACCGTCTACCAGCAAATATGCTTCTGAATATGATGTGGATGAACCTTGTTATGATAGTTGGCAACATGTAAATGCTGACGATTGTTGGAAGGTTGGTTGTCATGAATGAAATAATGTGTTTCTTAAATCTGCTGAGGTCTGAGACCAGACGAGATCCACGTGTAATGTGTAACTAGTGTCAGAAGATGGTTGGAGGACCTGGGATTTGGCAGGTATGCTGGTATTTTTGAAATGCATGAGGTTGATGAGGAAAATCTACCTCTGCTTACTCTAGATGATCTCAAGGAGATGGGTGTATCTGCTGTTTGGCATCAACAGAAATTGTACACTGCAATGCAGCAATTAAGAGGAGGCGGTGATTCTTCTTGAAAATTCTTCCGATCAATGTAAGTAATCTTTTTCTTTTTGTGAACCATTATTAAATCTCAACATTATGTGAACTAAATGGTTGCTTTTGCTGCTTTTAAGTACCATTAATTTTTGGCCTAAATTAAAATGCAAATTACACGAAAATTTTAATGGTTGTACTTGATTCTGGCCTAAGTGAGAGCTATATCTACAGCTTCCTTTTCTATAATTATTGGTGCATGTAATTTGTGTATAAATGGTAACTTGCTTCTTATTTAGGCATATAATTCAGTTTAAGGTATCATGCACGTGTTGCCCCATCTCTCAGTTTAGAGTGATTTGCAGTTCTGGATTGATGACTTTTATAATTCAGTGACAAGGAAAAATTATGACATAGGTTCTTCTTTAGAACTTAGAGTTGAACATTACTTAGCATCGGTTCCTGCAAAGCTTAGGTATGGATTTTTGGTTTAATGCTAGCATTGTATCAGTTTGTGCAAAGCTTAAGTATGAATTTTTGGTTTAATGCTAGCCTTGTTGTTACGAGCTTTGCATCAAAGATTGAACAACATATAATTTTGACATTCCTAATCTAAACTGATAAGTACTTGAGAAATCCCAATTCTTTTAGAATTTTGGATAAAAACTGTGTCTGCACGTGTGTGTGTTTCTGTCTGAGTGAATGAGCATGGTGTGCCACTTTTTCCTTCCTTTTAAGTGTTTCGGAAACATATTTTGATGGAAATAAGTAATAGAATGGTGAAGCGTGCCTTTAAATTGTCTTAATTACTAACTTCTTTTTTTTTTTGGAGATTTTAACAGTTTTAGTTTAATTTGGATAGGTTTTCCATGAGTAAGAAGTATGCGCCTTAAGTCTTACAGTTAGCTGTTGTTTTAGCACTTAAACGAGCTCTTTTCTCTTTTGTGCTATAATGTGCTGCAAATTTGGAAATTATTTAAGGTAGCTGATCTCGGAAGAAAATATATGGATCTTGTTATGTAATCTGAAATGTAAATGCTAATGTACAAGCTGCTTAATCTGCCTGAGAAAGTTACGTATCTCTTTTGGTGATGCCTTTCCGCTTTGTTTATCAAGTTAGCTCCTGCATGCCTCGGATGGCCTTTGATTTAGAATAAGGAGGCAGTAAATGTTGTTGTACTGCCTCATGAACCCTCTAGTTTCTTCCTCAGGTGCCCCTTAACTTGTTTTCTAACCATTCTGTTGATCCAATGGATTTTTTAAAACAATCATACCTTTTGCTGTTGTGCTCGTTTATTCTTTGTATATGTTATGGATTTTTCAAAACAATCATACCTTTTGCTGTTGTGCTCATTTATTCTTTATATATGTTGAAGTAGAGCTTAATACGAAGAAATCCTATGCTTTTAATCAGTATTGCCAATATAGTGCTTTGCAAAGATCCCTTATCTTTTTCTTTGATGGGCTCTTTGAAAATGCAAGATGCTGACTATAGTGTAGTTTTGAGAGTTTCTTACATGATTGTTAGCTTCATATGCATGCTTGGAATAGAAATGTTAGATGTTGCTTAAATGATCATTTAGCTATAGTTGAGAGACATGTATTGTTCTTGCTTATAATTTTTTATGTTGTTTGGATGGCATCATAAAATGATTCAAAAATGTGTTTGAAAACGGGTAAACCCGGACTCTTGTTGTTCCTCTTTTTGATTCATTTGTAAACAAAATGCGTTGTTTTCTTTCATTTCGTTGAATCCCCCTAATGGAACTTGAAAGTCTAAATGCCAGGTCAGCAATATGTAAGGCACTTAATTACTGCAGCTCCAGCTACTTCTAAGTTCTAAAGGACTTCCAGCAGTAAGCCTTGGATTGCTTCAAATGTCACTTTTAAAAGAGTTGTGTTACAGACGGCCCATTCTGACAAAACATGTTACTCGATGATTTTGCTGGATATGAATGGTTCATGAACATTCCATCTTAGGTGGAGTTTCTGTTGATTTGTAATGGAATGAGATGACCTTATGCCTTTCACAGGTTGCACTGAGTTTTCATTTTCTTTTGGTAATGACTCCCAGTCTTCTGAGGTAGATGGAGGAGATCATTTATCTGTTTCAGTTTTACAAGTTTGGTGAGATAAAATGATTTGGTTAAAATCAGCATTAAGATTGAATATTTTAACGACGAGATTAAAATTAATAATAAAAATATATGTTTAGATATAAACGTAACAGTGGTAATGGATATGGTAGTCAATTGTATCACCAAAAGCAATTGATTGTCATAATTGAAAAATATTTTTATTTTTATTTTTACATTAAAACAATTGACTACATTGGACCCTTCCCCTCCGGTTCTGACTGTAGGGGCACTCAGCGGTCTTGGATTTCAACCTGAGTGTCTTAATTTATGAATTAAATCAATCTGTGTTCTGTGCTCAAGCTTATTTGTTAATATGCTTTAGTCCCATTTGTTCACTTCAGAGGCTAACGGGAAAACAAGGCCCAGTGTGCCACTCTTCATGATTGGGCCTCTATGTAGTTTCTTCAAACTAAGACTTCTACAGTCACTCTCCCATCTGTGAAGTTAAAATTTTTTCCTTGATCAAAAATATGTGAAAGATTTATTACCAATAAATAAATAAATGTGAAGATATTTTATCCATTATTTTGATTTCTTGTAAGTGCAATACCAGCTAGTGAATTGTAAATAGAAACTGAGAATTGATACTTACATGAGAAATATCGTATCTTGTCATTAAATATATAATAACGACATCTGAGAATCATTCAAGGGTGTCTGTCACAGCCGTCCGGACGTATGGGACCTAGATTTGCCTGTTATTATTAAGGCGCATGCCTGATACAACTGAAGTGATCAGGATATGCAGCCTGAAATGGAAGATATATAAGATCGAGTTCATGATGACAACAATAATATTAGTGATCAGCCAGCCAGCCTATACATGGACAAGGACATGGACATGGACATTATTCTGACTTCACACCCCACTTTGCTTGACGTGATAGATTTGGAATTGGTGGGGAAATGGTTGTTCATTATCCCATTGAACGATTTATAAAATTTAGGTCTTCTTTCTATCAGTACCAACTGATCGATTAAGTAATCCACTTGGAATCTTGAAAAAAAAAATGGACACTCGAGAAAAAAAATCTTAAATTCCCAATTGTTACCAAATATCTAACTCACTCAATTATGAACTCAGAATTAATTTGTTTAATTGGTCTTCATGAATCTAGCAGTTCTATATGATTGAAGGTTCTCAGATTCATCTTCAAAAAATTTTTCCAGGGATCTAATTAGAGCTTCCATGATGATATTGTCAGCTACCAGCACAATATGAAGTGCCAGACCAAATTATTTAGACTTGACTTTAGAGGCATGCATGTAGCTCATTTGCTTCTTGTTTTATGCATCTGTTTTGTTTTGTGGGAATAGGAAGAACAACTTGCTCCTGAAGATGATGACAAAGAACATAAAATTAACATAATAGATATGCAGGAAGCATTGGAGGATTTTTGTGAGAGTGAATTATGCGTTTGTTATTTCGTGTGTGGCTGGTGAGCTTTAGGTGAGCTTGCTCATGATTTCTGTGCTTGGAGTTTAGCTATGGAAAACCTAGCCATAGTTAGTCATAGTTTAGGGTTCACAGAAAGTGGCTAAGTAACCACCACATGATTTGACCTCTTGTGGTAGACCCTGTTTCTCTTTCTCTCTCTATCTCTCAAATTGATTCTAGCCTTTATGGGCATGCCTAACATTTTCAAACTTCTAATGCCCATAGTCTACCATGTCCATGTCTATCCATTACCAATTAACTCAAAGCCAAACCTAGAGCAGACCAACTTGTGTCTGAGCCTGGACCATTTTTAGTCTCTTAATATAACATGTGATGGAGATATGTAAAGAAAAGTGTAAGTGGAAGAAGGTGGGGGTTGGAGAAATCATTAAGTAATTAGTAGGATAACTCATCACTAAAAATCAGTTCATATTATAAGCTAAAAAGCATACAAAGAAATATGATCTACAAAGTAGTGATTACTATAGTAGGACTATCTTCAAATGTAATTGCCATACAATGTGGAAAATGATGAGCACATGCTTGGGGGCAACCACTTTGATTGGATCCCTCTGAGTTTTTATTACACAAACACTAATGGCTTCCATCTGCAGACTGATGGTCAGATTCAGGCCACTTTCATTGGTACCCTTTGAGCAATTATTTAGGTTCTGCCAAGTGGTTGGTTCATCCATTAATTCAACCATCGTACCTATATATATATATATATATCAACTGTTACTCCATGTATAATTTTTCTTGATATAATTCAACCATGCCAACTGTTACTCCCACAAGAACAAGTACAAACGAGATGTCTATGGTAGGGTTTAGGACGGGTAAAATATTCTTTATTTTTATTTTTTGATTTTTATATTATATTTATTTTTGAAATTATATTTTACAGGTATTTTGAATTTAAATTTATTTTTATTTTTGTGGATATTTAATATATATGAATAATTTTTATACCCATAAATTTTTTTAAAAAAATAAAAACTAAAAGTTATTTTTTAGTTTTTTTATTTTGCATATTTATATAATTTTTTATAAATATATTAATATATATTTTAAATAAAAATAATATTAAATTGAATTAATCTAAAATAATAATTTATATTATTTAATTAAAATTTTATTTATTAAATATATAAATATGTATAGAGTATGAGTATAGGTATGATGCATGTATTATATCTTTATATATAATAAAAATTAATATTATACACATTTCTATTCCCATAATATAATATCATTCTTATTTTCATTTTGATAAAAAATAAAAATATTCATTGAATAAAATTAATATCTTTAATTAAAATAATAAAGTCAATTGTTTTGTTTTGTAAAGAGAGCATGACCCAATTTCTTTTCTCAGCCAATAATAGATTTTCATTAATAAGAGATAAGGCAATACCACTGTCTCGTCCCTTATAAAGCTAAAGCCAAGCAAATTATAGTGTTAACAGTTCTATAGTTTATTGATAAAATGTTAAAATTTTAATTTAGTAATCAAAATTCAATCCTGACCACTTTAAATATATATATATATATATATATAAACAAATTACACGCAAAATCATAATTGAAAAGGTTTTAAATCCAAGCATAACACAACTGGAGGAGCCAAATTTGGGTCTTGCCAAACCATCAACATTGAATGTTAGGACATTTTTACTGGGAAAAATCCACAGTGTACCCCTGCCTTTGGGACTTGGATTAGTAACTATAGAACAAACAACTGATTTCTTAGGTTGTGAGCACCACACATTAATGAGTCAAGTTCAAACATTTCTACTTGAATTCTTACAAGATTTTACATTGGTGTTGCTATTTGTATTTGTTATGTAATGATCAGTATATCATCCTTATAAGAAAAAACAAAAGCATAATTCACCATGCATAAAAAGGTTAAAAGTAAAAAAGATATTAAAAAAAATAAATAGTTAAGACATATTTCGATGGGTTTTACATAATTTTTTTTATAGATTTTACATGATATTGAATTATAATTGATTAATTGCATTAACTTAATTATAAGTGATATACTCACTTAATTCCCAACCAAAACTAGGTAAGGACAACCCTAAGTTTGAATGGGACCAAATAGAAGAATTAGACATTAACCCATAATCATGATGAAAATTTAAGCATATGATTAAGTGTTCTAATCACAACTTTTACATGAAAATTTTATCATTAATCTATTCTCCACATCATTTGTTTTAAAAAAATTAATCTAGTGATACTATTATAGATGCAAAAGACATGATTGAGACTGTTGGAAAAAGAGTAGTTGGGACGTATTTGTTTGTAATTTACAAAATCGGGGCAGATGTGACCACAAGGTCCTGGAGGTTTTATCTTCCATTAACATCAAGAAGGCTTTGTATCGTATGAACAAGAAGAAAATGGACGAAAATGTCACTTGCATTTTGTTGTCATATTGGCATGTTGTGGGGGACCTAATTTGCTCCACTGTTGTAACACCCCTTCGAAATCCATGTTTTGTATGCTTCGTCCCTTTTGCTGTCCTCTTCTTTCTTATGAAGGGGTTTTGTAAATAACAGTACACATTCACCTTCACGTATGCACTCGCGCACTCATATATACATATACACACATATATATATATATATGCGTGCATGTGTGAATGAATGTAAATGTGAATGTATTAATACAAACAATTATGTATGTATCAATCAATTTTGTTCACGAACTTCTTTATCTTATCATAAGAATTGTTAGTTATCAAAATGCATATATGAAATATAGGTAAAATTTACGACCCCACCTTAGAGGATATTGTAAGGAACGAAACTGGAGCATTTTTGAGGACGCATCGTTGGTGACAAACGTGTGATGAGTGATGATGTTGAAGTAGAAGACAGTTGATCCTTCAACTTTTTTGTTTTCTCAGGCAAACTAGAAATTTTATTAATGAAATATGTTTATAAATAGACTGGGATCCAAAGAACAAGATCAGAAGCATACATAATCACATAAAAATTACAATGAAAATTATAAACATTTGATTGCATCAACGTATCTATCATCATATATAACAAACAACTCATCTTTATCAACACTCATCTTTATTTTACGTCGATTAAATATCAATTAAATTTTTATAATTTTATATTTAAATTAATTTTAAATCAGATGTCTGTCCAATAATTTACCGACTTGATCATATATATATATGCATATAGATATATCAAATTATTTGTTACATACACATGCATGATATGATAACCACTTGATATTGCTTACAAATCCATCTGTGTAAGATTGAGTGTGGGTTTGGATTCCATAATACTTTTAGTGCAATGTAGTTGAATTCATTGTAATATTAATTGAATTCAAATATCAAGTTTAATAATCATTTAACATAAATTTTTTTATAAATTTTTTTTTCAATTATAATTATAGTAATTTTTTTAATCATAGTTATAATAATAATAATTATTATTATTATTAATTTTATTAAAATTAATCTTACCGTTCATTCAAAAGGACAGATGAAAAAAAAAAGGCATGAATAATGGACATGGATACAGAATTTTGCAGGGCCGTAGGTGCTCCCATTGTTGTTTGGTCAAGCATGACAGTGGAGCAAATTGGTACAGTTG